ACACCAAGCTCCCTTCTGCACCCAACCTTCATCCTAGACCTTGTACCCCCTCCATAGAAAAGTTCAGCCCTTGACCACTTACCAAAATCTTGGAATGCTCCCTCCATGAAAAATTATTGTCTACCCCTAGTCTATCCCTTAATTGTAGCCAACTGCTGACCTTTACAGGGAATTACCTGATCCAACCCAGATATGCAACCTTAGTAATTAGCATTCAGTAGACCCAGGACTTCCAGTGCATACCATCTAAGATACATTGAAGACAATACAATGAAATGGATCAAGGTGTGGTTGACAGATGAGTTAACAGTCTATAAATGCAGAACAGTTACAAATCACACTGCAGTGCTGTGGAAGTATCTAGTGAAAAGATGGAGGATCCTTGCTTTCTTTTTTGGCTCATTTACAGATAATACCAGGTTAAGGTAGGAGAGGCTGAATCCAAAAACAAAAGTCAACATAAGCAAATCTACAGACAATTGTGAAGTATGCAGATTAATAAAGGGAATGTTAGCTGGGAAAAAATAAAGGATTATACATATGGACAAGAAACATCTTAAATAAAGGAAACAGTTAGATTGTTGGCTAGAAAGCAGACAAGTGCAAAAAAAAAACCCTTAAAGCCAAAGTTATATGGAAACAGATTCATAGAGGTAGATCAAAAGGAAATTCCTCTCTATTCAGGAACAGATTGTCATTCTTGTTTATGTTCAGTGGGTACATTTTGTATAGTCCTACTATGGACACATGAAGCTAATGGGGCAACATGTGGATTCAAGCACTATTCAGGGTCAGAATCAAGCCAGCAGCATTACTGTGATCATACTTTGAGCACCTTTGGGCAACTTGAGACAGGAAAAAGATGAGTAGGAGAGGATCTAGGAAAGAGTAAACAAGATGAAAGAATTGGGATGGGGGGGTAAGGAAAGCTCAGAAATCCTCTAAAAAGGTACAGAATATGTGGTGATTTGACAACTGTCCACTGATAATGAGTCATGCTTAATACAAATTTAGAGAGGGCCTTTAATCTCATGAAATAATGTAAAGGAAACTATTGCCTGGAGATTATGTAAAGTATTTTCATATTGAAGTCAATTTGACTATGGACTAATCTCCCACAGTATGTTACTGACATTCCATCACTGGAGTTATTCAAAACAAAACTCTTGAGGATGTAAAGTAGAGACAACCCTCAGACAGAGAAACAAAGTGATCTAACAGATCTAGTCTAGCTAGGGTTGCCAGATGGTTTAACCAAAAATACTAAACACCCTTTTTCCTCTCTCCCTCCCCCCTCCAAAAAAAAAAAACACCGGGGAAAAAATTCTGTTGAGAAAAAAAAGGGGGAGACCAAAGTGGTTGAGCAAAAAAATAAAAACAAAAAACAAAAAAAGTGTGGCTCCTTTAAGAAACACCTTTGCGGCTTTTTGGCCCTAACAGGCTCCCTGCTCCGGGCCAGAGAGCTCCCTGCAGAACAAGGTAAGTACTCGGAATTTTCGCCTCCTGGCCCGGAAAAAATCAGAAAATACCAGACATTTCAGGTGTGCGGTATTGTCTGCATTTTTTTACTGGACAGGAGGCAAAAATACCGGGTCAATACTGGACATCTGGCAGCCCTAAGTCTAGCCCTAATAATCAATGGCAATGGCAGAAATTTACACTTGGGGAGTTCAGTGTCTAAAGGGTTGGGAGAAAAACAAGACTGATTATAAAGTTATAAAGAAGAAAGACTCAGACTAATATGTTGGGAAGAGAGCACTTAGAGAGAAAGTTTATTAACAAGCAATGAGTTGAATTAATGACAACTCAGCAATTTATATACTGAACTCCTTAACAAGACAAAAAAATAAGTTTACGCAATTAAAATGAAAAAGAAGAACTTACAAAATAATTATTGAAAATGAGCAGAGAAAGGGCAATTTGAACAAAACAAACTGATCACATGGCTGAATAGGGTATTAAAATAATTTCTAAATGATAAGAAATTACTGTAAGCTGGGGAGAAGACAACTAGAGAGAAGTGAACGTAGTGCCAAGTTTTTAAAAAGAATGATCCCAACAATGATTATCTAAATTCTATTCCTATTAAACAAGGAATTTGTATTTAAAAAGAATATTACCCAATCTTTTAAAATGGACCGGAAAAAAAAGGAAGTTGCAGGACGGTAGGACATCTCTGGACAACAGTGGGGTCAGCCCTAGAAGGCACATAAATGTGACAAGTGCTTTCCAACATTTTTAAGTTTAATCTTGATTTAAAATTCCCTGAATTTTCATATTTGCTTTTGGTTACAATTTCTGTTTGTTACAAAGTTCATGAAAGATTCTCTTTACATGACTGATATATATTTACAACTTAACTCCACTCTTTAAACTTGTTTCTTGTTTGTTTGCAAGTATTTGTTGTTGTTGTTGTTTTGTTTTTTCCACCTAGGAATATCCCTAGCTTCATAAGAACATGTCTAAGCATTGCACAGTAATGGCCCCTATAGAACATGTAATAACATTTTGGGGAATATTTAATCTGAAACCTTCAGAGGCTTATTTCATAAATAAAATTATGAATATTGTCTTTGGCTTCAATAAACAGACACATAAAAGTAATTCCCTTTCACCATATTTGAAATGTATTCTAATATCTATGTAACTTTGAGCACTGTGTCTCAATTTCAGTCCGTGTTGATTCATTTCCAGTGCCCATTATTGCAGAATACTGAGCAGAGTCTACAGTACTACAGTGATAAATCAGAGTACTGTATAGTTAGTCTAGGATGCTCACTCTACACAATGTGAAATTTTAATTGAGGGGGCACCTACAACATGCAGTTGCCACTAACACTTTAACAAGAATGTGCACAAACTCTTTGTGAAACTAATTTGTACAGAGGGTTCCTCTAGGTTCAGCTGTCTCCATTCCCTCCCCTTCATTTTCACAGATAAATATGCCAAACCTTAATCATGCCTTTGTTTTGCATTTGATATAATATAGTTAACTGACTGGCACTATATTCTACTGGTTATAATGCAAACTGTCAGCTGTGTGGAGCTGGATATTTAAAACTATCCTCACTGTCAGTGACATTCCAAGCAGCCATGGTGTGCAACCTCGTGATGAACATGAAGTCCTAGGTGGCCATGGGCTTGTCACAATCATCTGATTCCCCTCTAAAATACACGCCATGAAATGAAGGACTGTCTGTTTTGTCACGTGATGCACATTTGCTGCATTAATCAAACTTTGGGAGACAATCTTCCATATCTTCTGTGAAATCATGGGAGAGGTAACTCCCATGGGCTGAACTTACTAGCTGTAATATTTTCCCCCCATTCGCCATAGAAGCTTTACTCATTGGGATAAGAGTTAACATCTATGTGTTTTCAAAGTTAATTTCTTCAATGAGGTTAGGCCCATAGCTGCAATGGGCTGTTAAAGAAAAGTTTACCTTTGACTGACTGACTGGAATTTGATGCGGCAATCTTCAATTATTGTTTACTAAAATCTGCTGCACTTACAGATCTACTTTAAACATCTCTCCCTCTCCTCCTGGCAGAAGAAAGTTTAAATTCAACAAAACATTGTATTGAGGTTACTAAATCTGAATGCATACACTGGCAAAATAAAACGTAAAGAAATGCTTTAATTTCTGAGCTACTTTACAGTATAAAACAAAAATAAATCATTTTCTGTTTCAAATTTCAAGCGTGGTGGTACGATCCAGCTAAACATCTAAACCTCTCCTTTAGTTCTGAATGAAAAACAAAGCCACTACATTCTGAATTTAGTAAATCAGCATATTTGGTCTTTTCTCCATAGTTGATTGATGAAAGAGCTTGTTTGATAAGAGCAGACATTATATGGACTTGCTTCAACCGCTCTCTGTGTGTGTGTCCAGGTGAAGGATCAGGTGATGTGTCCATGGAGAAACAGCGACATCCTGTGGCCAGATTAGTCAACCACTTGTGTTTCTTTGGCTATAAAATATACACACATACCCTGAAGCAATACAATAAGATACAATAAAACTGAAAATACTTGCAGAGTCAGTCACCAAAAAAAACAACCCCTAAATCCAACTCTTTCACAATGTATATGGCTCTTCACATATACATTGAGCTGATACAGCTGCTCAAATCCAGCCTATCCCTGACCTCTATGAAAGCTAGGATTCAGTCAGATTTTGAACTTGCTTCCATCTCTAGTTTTAAGGTCCTTTGAATCAAAACACCAGTTTCTAGCACTCCTACTGCTTTAATGAAGCAGTTACCCCAGTGGTCTTC